GGTGGGGCGGGGCGGGGCGCGCGTACACCCGGCTTGCCGTCGCTCCACAGGTTGCTGTTGTGCGCCTCCCGCAGCTATCTGACCTGGACCATCCCACCGCCCCTCCCTCCCGGTCCACGTTTTCGCGCCTTGCGCTCTTGCGCTTTGACGCCGGTCCTGGAATACAGTAAATACGACATATTCCAGGAGCCCGGGGTGGCTCCGCCGCGCCCTCCTGTACGACAGGGGTCTCAGACCGAGACGCCGCGCGGGCCTCGGACCTCTCACTCGCACTTACGGCAATCACATCGCCCCTTCTCTCTCCAGGCGAACCGCTCAGAGCTGGTATAGTTGGTTCACGAAATTCTGACACACCGGCACGCAAAGGACTTGGAGACAATCACTCCCTCCTTCTTTGTTGACGTCGTAAGCAGTATGGTCACACTCATTATAAGGGTCGGATCGGTAGGCTAGAGCTGCCAAGCCGCATTTCGCACTCCTCCCAGGTAGTGGGCCCCCATAAAAGAGACGCGAAGATGTTTGGCAGCCGTACCACTGGGCCCGGCGAGGGCCGGGGACCCTCCGGCAGCAGGCCTTCACGCATCGTTACTGTACCTAGAAAGCAGTAGGGCGCAAAGAGCCGTCAACGGTTTGTTTTTTGTCTGTTTTGCTCGCTTTACTTGGGAATAAATAAATGTCTTAAGTGCTGCCTGGTCGGGGGCGTCTAGACCGTCGTTCTAACCCCAGCCACACCTAACGTAAACGAATCAATGACGATCGAGCCAAAGCTTCTGAAGCTGCTGCTGAAGCTGAAGCTTCTGAAGCTGCTGCTGAAGCTGAAGCTTCTGAAGCTGCTTCTGAAATTTTTTCGAAATATTCCTGAAATTTTACCGTAAAATAACCGAAAACTTCCAAAGACTGGGAATTTCTCCATTTTTTCCCTGAAATTTTCCGTTTTTTTCTGAAATGTTCCTGAAATTTTCCGGAAATTTTCCAGGGCTTCCAACCCTACCCAAACCTTCCCCCCGTCCGTATCTGTTTACAGTATTGCCGTGCACAAAGTGGCCGCGCTCCAGCACAGCCCGCGGAGTCTATTTATATACAAACCCAACCAATAAACCACCGGTCTGTCAACCCACCGCGCCC